ATCCATTGACTGTCTTGTTGGCTTCGTAACCTTCCCAGTAAATTACAAACTTCAAATGATCATTTGGTGGGGAATGGTTGATTGTTCTGTGCATCCCGTTTGAATCCTTAAACACATAAGAAGTGAGTCCAAATGAATTGGGTCTCGCGTCATTCCATTCTCAGGGTGGAAATTGCAAACGCTTATTTGTTCGATCCTATCTCCAGACATATCTTTCTTTTTTCTATTCCGCACTGTAGTTTAGCCACAGTGTGAATAGTCATTCACATGGCACAGTTGGGAAAACGGTCAGTAAGAATTGTTTCGAGGAACGGCTCGGTAATAAAGTCGGGATGGGTGGAAATGGTGAAGCAAATTGCATGAAAAACAAGGCAAAGGAGTCCCCGCAAGTAAAAGCCACCTTTTTCTATTGAATTTTAACTTTTTTTTTGCTCCAGGAACACTATCAAGCTGATATGAAAAGCGATGTTTCACATAGGAAGAAGCTAACCGAGGCAGATGTTATAGTTCTGAAGGCAATCAGTTTCAACACCGGAAACCTAGGTAGTTTCGCTTTTTTATTCTCTACTTATTAAGCCGCTTATTAACTAGGTGCGCTTGCACCTATACCTTACGAAATCTTACGCCATTGTTTGAGAGTTTATTCGTATCTGTTCTTCCAGAACCAGATTGATGTAACTAAGGTTAGATCGAGAGTTTTAGGCTCACTGATGAAAAAAGAAAACTCTGCCCTCGGTACAGATATATATGACGGTGACGTTACGCAACCAGTTACAGTCGAGGTGAAAACGGGTGAACCACTCGATCTGCTCGCCTGCGGAATGCAACTATCTGGAGGTAATGGTTAACATTTTTTTTGCAAGGAGAGCCGATTGAGGTTAGTATTTTATGGTTATCAAATTCGTGCTACTTATGCTCCTCCTTTTTCTAGTTTCCATCCTCATTTTCCTGCGGAGTCAATCGTGTATTTATTGCGAGAGCACAAAGACCTATTTTAGATATCGAAAAGTTCGACAATGGACTGCTGGTGAACTTGTTCTCAAAAAACCATCAGGAATCACGAAAAACAACTATATCTTCGTCTGAGCAGGTAAATTTCGGGCAAGAAATCTTTCTAAGCAACGGTTTGCCGCATGTGCATGTGTGTATGTCGCCACCTGCAATCCCCATACCTGCGCCACATTAACGACTGCTAATAACTAAATCACACTCTTCAGCAATACTCATGTTGATGGTGTTGGAGGTGCGAGCCCGCTCTCTGAAAAATAAATTGTAGGAGAGCTTTTATGACAGTGACACTCCGACATACATGTAGCGCGAAGCACTGTGTTCGTGACGCAATAGTGAAATTTCTGTCAGTGTCATTTAATATAGAAACCTGGTCATCAGCATTCAATGTGTGTGTCACGACTGGCATGATCACCATTCCAAATGAGCCTCTATCGACAGATGAAGAACAGAATAGTTAAATCGCCAATCAGTTGTGTTAATCACTTTAGGAACATCGCTACTCCAAGCGGCATCGCATTGATGATGATGGTCCTATAGATCATGATTTGATGGCTGCTCTGGGTTTTGGAAAAAATCGTAACAGAGGTATGTTCAGTTTGCGGTCGGTAGCGATATATATGGAACACAAAAATCTGAGAGTTTTTCCGGCACCACATAGCATGACCTTTTAGAGTGCATAAACAATTCTAATGAAACCAACATCTTTTTGATTAAACACTATGGCACTTTGCGGTAGCACAACGCGCCTGGCAGAGGTGAGGGCCATTATTTGCTTTTTTTATTTTGCTCTTCCTAAAAGTTTCAAAGTTTTGAACACACAGTCTTCACATAGTCTGCCGAAATTGGTTTAACCTTTATTTACCTTTTGTATAATTTACTTTTTGGAACCTTCTAGGACTTCAGAATATGCCTTCTAGGGTAATTGTTTCTAGGTGTTTGTGAATTTCATCGGAGCGATACGTTCAAAACTCTGTAGAAAATGACAGCGGCACTTCGGAGCGTGTTACTACCGTTGGTGATGTATGTTTAAAATTGACGAAATTTATTTTTCCATTATAGTTATGACTTTTATTCATTTGATGGTGCTCTATTGTTCGTGTGACATTGGTTTTATTTCATTTTCGCCTTTCAGTACGTTCGATCAGTGAATTCAATTCCTCCTGCACCAAAGGATGACGAACCCCTCTTTGCAGTCCGCTGTCCGAGCCCCGAAAGAAAGCCATTAGTGGAACATCCAAAATGCCCCATTTCTTTACCTAAAGGTAGGGATTCGCAATCTGTTGTGGAATTTCTGTGTCAGTGAATTATTTTTTTTCACTAGATGCTAATGACCTTTGTTTTGATTTACTTTAACACAACATGCAATAGTAAAATTTTTGCTCTTCAGTGTCGACCGTCAGCTCTGTTTCGACAGTTGCGTCTCCTAAGGAAAGCGCTCGCGATCTGAAGAGTCTTCAAAAGCGAGCGTATGAAGCACAAATCTCTAGGGTTCGTGTTCGTTATCATGTTTACTGCGGGAGAAACAAGCTCTTGTGCTGATTTTTTAGGAGGAGGCGATGACCAAATACTATCAAATGAAGATCAAGAAACTCGAATTGGAGATCGCCCAATTGCAGCGCAATAGAAGTGAAAATGAGAGTGGATTGTAAGCGTTTATTAGTATTCCAATTTTGTAGAGAGCTCTTTTTTGCCTCAGGTTTTTGATCTCTGCTTTCGCCGTACCTGATACGCCTTCCTCATTGCGGGTCCTTATGTAGTGTATTTGTTCGTTTTTAAGAGTTTAGACAGCGTTATATTTTGATCAACCGGTGTGTTCTACAGATGAAAGTCAGTGCAATTGTTGTTTTCTAATAGAACTTTTCAATAAAGTTTATATTTTGAATGTCTGATCTTTACGGAAAATGCTATATTTTTATCTTTAAAGGGTTCCAGCTAGTAGGAGTGCTAAGCGGAAATTATTTAAGACTTTGTCCTAATCCCTCCTAGAAGGGAAGGTGGAGTAGCCGCGGTGGCATTACGGTTTTGTGATAGTTTATAGTCACACGTTTTCTGCTAGCTCTAGGAACAAATCGAACTGATTCGTTGGGCAATGTTCACGGTCTGCGACTCCAGAGAACAGACGAATTTGCGAAAAGGATTACTATTTAGCGCGAGAATCAGCGCTTGTGGGGAGGCGTAAGATAAAAGAATGAACCTTGAAGCGTAAAAAGAATGAACAGGAATTCGTTAGTTGACTCCATCAGATCGGCAAAGCGAAGGAGGCGCGCGATTCTTCTTTCTTCTCAATTGATTCGTATGCAACTTTTGCGGTTTTACCACTTTCGATTTCTGATTCGCTGAGGCCGAAGGAAGTGAACGTTCCCGGAAGGCATGCCCCAGATCAGAGTGGTGCACACGAATGTGAAAGTATTGGTACGGAATGCGCCAGCATTGATGAGGAAAGGAAAAGAATTTGTCGAAAACGCTGAAATTAAGGGCTCACTCGCCTTCGTAATGCGGCTCTGTTAAGGCAATGAGAGGCTAGATGGGGAGAGGACAGCACGCAGTGAGAGAATGCAGATGAGAGGGCGCTAGACGACAGCCTGCTGCGGACGGGGAGGATTGAAGCAGTTGAAGCTGTCTCTGAAATGCAGTAGCGCCCTTGTTGGGCGTTTTTGATGCATTAAAGTGCCACATCTGTAATTACCTTTAATGCCTTCCTACAGACCGAAGAGATCGCCACACGGCTTCTGTTTGGTTGTGCCTTCAAGTGAACTAATGAGCACGAGTTACGGCCACAGAGGACAACATCTCAGAAGCGCATAACGTACTTAAATTTACTGCTGAAGCCATCTGAATTCCGTGGTTCGTCGTGATGTTGATGTTATGATTATGATAACACTCTCACGGCCATACAAACACCGATCGAGTAACTCAGCTTCATTCTACATGGTGCTGCCGTGGCAGCTGGAGGGGAGGGCAGGAGGGGGAGGAAAGAGGGAGGGAGTGCATCGCTTCCAAGATTACGGTTGATTCCGCTGTTGGGGTATTATTGCAACGTGACTTGTGATAATAGCCCAACGGCTATGCAAACACCTACTTAGAACACTTGAGAAGTATAAGGTGAAAAGGAGGAACGCCAAGCTTTGCAGGGAAGGGAGGGTCCGGCGGTTGCCAGGAGGACCACTGGTCATAAAGATAAAACTGGTCTACAAGAAGATTAGGTATGCACAAATTTTCGGTGAAGGTTTCTCGAAGCCTGCGAAATCTGAAACTTCCCTGTCATCTTTAGATTTTTCTCGTCGAATTATCAGGGAGTAAAAAGATAATCATGCGCCCGATCAAGAGCGAAGCTTCATGAATGGTAAAACCGTGAAATGCTCATAGGTCTGCTGACAGAACTCTCCAAAGTATCGCGAAGGATTCACCATTCGATCGAAAAGCTGTTCTCCATGTTAGTCATAAGGACAGAGATTCATCTCAGCAGACACGGCAAAATAAGTTTGGGCACTATTGTCTATTGCAACCTTAAGAAAAAAAATCAAAAAAATCCTCCAAAAACTGGTCTGTAGGGGTTATTCAGGGCCCTGGGCCGTAAGGTATGCTTCCGAAGGGTTAGGGGACGAAAATCCTTTAAATTTTCTCTGTCGTCCCAACTGGGATTGTCCTGATAAAGGGCCTACATTTAATATATGTGTGTTGCTTAAAGTAAACATGCATTGAGAATAAAGAAACAGTGTCGTTCAAAACAAAAAATTTAAAGGGACTTTCGTCCCCGCAAGCATTCGGGGAAGCATACCTTACGGCCCTGATCACGAAAGTAACATTCGCTTTCAATACTGACTGACGTTAGTACTTTGGCGCGACAGCTTTTTCATCAAACTTGCTCAACAAACTTATTTATGAGGGTTGACGTTCTGACAACGAGGAGTTCTAGCGCGGCTCATCTGCTGTCAGTTCTGACGCAGGTTTGCCCAACTAATCTCGACGCTAAGGCTGGTGCAAGCGGCGTCAACGTCAAGAATGGATGTCATCTTCGCGAGCTAAGCATTGACTTATACTATGAGTGGAGAGAAGCAAAATTTTTACCACCCCCCTCCCCCTCCGGGATTGTGCTGTTGCGGATGTGTGGGTTGTAGAGGTGCGCTACCCGCAAAGTAATTTGAAATTACGGTGAGACTAAAAATTCGGTTCCAAAGCACAAACGTGGTTGACGGTTGCGTAGGCGTACTTGGTAGGTATTGTATATCGCTCGCGAGACGTCAAAATACTACAACCCGTCCGCTTCTCTCCTCGTTTCACCCCCTGCAGTTTAAGAAATTCGAAAATAGTCTTCGTATTTGAAATCAGCGTCGGAAACTCTATGCAGTGATATACAGTTTGTAGGGTAACTTTAATCTGAATTTTCTTTGATCTTGGCTTTCAATACTGATCTGTGCTTGTGGCAGCTCATTTGATCTACGGTCGATGGTTGCCGCCGACCCCTCGTTTGGCCGTCTGCCCTCTCCGCAATGTCCACAGTCTCTCGCTTTTTGCCAGTCCCTCGATTTCGGCGGCACGCGTTTTTTTTTCGACGCCAGGCATCGACGGTAGATCAAGGCGGTTACCGTATACGCAGTTGTGTGGAGTGAAGATCAAGGGAAAGTCAGTTTTGAGTTTGTAATTCAAAATGTATATGATTCTATAGCATCTTCGACGCTGATACCAATACGGGTCTTCTGTTTTGAATCAGTGGGTTTAGAGCAGCGTACACAGCGTAGAGGTATGAGCATGAGCCCCTGCGGAGAATCAATCAATACGAACGGTGCCGTCCGAGCCAAGCCTTTTGGCGATCTTAAGAAGATGATCTTATACTATAGGTAACATGTAAGTATCTGGAGGTAACTACTGCTAGACCAATTGGGTTCTCCACCCTCCTGGAGAGGATATATAGTACAAGGCATAGAAAATATAACCTGAAGATGAAGCTGCATCGGTAACAAAGCTTGTAGGCATTCAGGTACGTGCGCTCAAACACCTCGGCTCTATACAAGTGGGGTGGGCACGCCCAGCTTTTCACGCATGTCAAGTGACTGCCCTCACCCCCCCCCACCCCCTAGATTGGCTACACTCCCCCTGGCTCACGAATTCCCCGATTCTCGTGACAGTATAGTAGCGGGCAGCAGTCCCACTTACATACATTTCTGTTCAAAAAATGCCCACCCTACTTGTATAGCACCAATACCTCCACAGATCCGCTTGTAAACAGATTGTTTGGCGCGTTCTGAGAGAATAATAAACTTTTTAAACTCCATGTCTTTGTGATTTAGTCATAGCTATACGAAGTGATTGGCACAGAGCGTGCCAAGTTCTTCTGCGCCGGGTTGCCGCGCGCGACGTCCGCTCGCCGCTCGCGTAAAGTCGAACATCTTGCGGTTATTCATAATTTGTCGTCGCTTTTTCATTGGTGGACATAATTTCGGCGCGATGTTTCGCCGTCCATCAATCGTCCACGACATCGACGAGGCATCTGGAGCACATCTTGGCTTATCGAGCAGCTAAACGTAACGAAAACATCACCACAAACACCGAATCGCTAATAACATTGGTCGAATCATTTCCGAGTAATTGCGGCTGGCAACGACGCTCTTTTTTAAACAAGGTTCAAATCGATTAGCTTTCGTAAAGTACACTGGTGACTAGCAGTGAGCGCAGGTCTGGCTCTATCACGCTGTCTGGAACCAGCCAATTAATCGGAAAAATACAAAAAATTTAGCGCAGAAGATGCCCAAAGTCCTCAGTCTTTCTTCAAATAAGTGTGTGCTGAGATAGTAGGAAAACTCCTACCACGTTCAACCTTCGATAGGGTTGTGGTACTCTGCTCTGGAGGGTACTGAAATGCAGCTATTTTTCGGAGAGAAAGAAAACTAGATGTGCTTGGTGAATCGTAGACGTTGAACCCCGTCCCTATGAACCTTTATGAAGAAAGTCTGTTTAGTTGCAAAATAAAATAGAGTGAGGCTTAGGTTTGTTGGCAAGGACATCGATCGTATGAACGATTAATATAAGGCTACGGCGTAATTCACCTCTTGTAGGAGCGCCATGCACTACATTCCCTTCAGCATCCTTAGTGACATTTGAATGCATGCACGTTGCGAACCAATGCCGATGTCCAGCTGTCAGGTGCTCTGTGTCCCTAATGATCTCTGGATATCCGAAAAATCTACCTCGGGATTACAAACACACCTTGATAAAGCTTGAGACAAGAAGTTACTGAATCAATATTCAGGATATAAACTACTCTTACTATAAGAAGGAAATAGGGCAACATTCAGTAATTGAACATGAACCACCACCTATCGAGCTCCGTAGTTAAGCAGCAGCTGACACTTAGATCGAGTAAAAGACCCCACTAACAAGTTAGCTTATATCTCATGGATACACAAATGCCAACATTTTATCAATTGAATAACTGACCACACAGAGTTTCACTCTGCTTTCACAAGACATATATCATTGAATAAATGTGTAGTAGATGCGGAGATGACTCTGCCTACTAAGAATAGGTGATAGTGCTCAGCTTACCTAGGAGTTAAAACAACTTGAGGTAAAATCGCAAAAATTGTAATTCTTATTATCTGGCCAAATCAGTCGGCCAGTGTCTTGGTGAGTAAATGATGTAAGCATAATA